AAAATAAAATATACGTGTTTAAGCGTTTTTTCGGAAACTTGACCATTTTTTAAATAAAAAATATTGTAATATTTGAGGGGTGTTTTCACCCTTTTGGAACTGAAATTTCGAAAAATCCCTTCTTATCTAACCCTAGAGTCAACCTGTATGTCAGAATTGAACTTCTTACGTTGAGTGGTTTGAGCAGGATCGTGATTAATCAGTGAGTCAGTCACTTAAGGATTTTATATATTGGTATAGATTTTTGTTTAAGCAACTGTCTGTGTGACATGTCAGGTTTAGAATTCAGTATATCATTTATTAAATTTATTTAATAAAATTATATATAAATATAATTAATGTCAATGTTTCAGAAAATCCATCTCGTACCACAGCTGAAAAAGACTTCGTAATAGGAAGCCTGTATGACATCGTCCTTAAGTCATTTCTGTTTTGATTAAAAACATTCTTAACTTTTTACGCCCAAGGTTTTATTTAATATACATTTCATATACACATTGTATACACCTTGTATACATTTAATCCATTGTTTCATTAACAAAGGTTTAATTACATATTTAAACGCCACATTAAAAACAACAAATATGAATTTACATCAATCAATATTCCTTCGCCCTGACATCAAGTTTTATGAGTCAAACACGCCCGTGCCAATCCCAGGTGAAATTTACATTTGTTTCAAAGCCCAGCGTATCCAATTAGGGATGATTCACCTATCGATATATCAATAATTATCGATTACTGTCGATAAATATAGGTATATCGATAAGTAATATATCGACAATTTTGAACTTGCCTCTTTTTATTCAATATACAGGGCGAGTCTTAAATAAGGGCAAATATTTTCAGTGCTGGTATATTTCGAGCCCAGGAACACGTCTATGATTTTTTCGCTAAAAAAGATGTTGAAAATCGTGCATTTTCTTTTAAATTTTCCTGTATATTTTTTGAAGACTTTTTAGAACCTGCCTGTTCACCGCAAATTTTCCCACGCTATAATTTTTTAATCTCAGATATTACCATAGTTACGGCTTTACTCTATGGTTACGGCAATAAAAGGGATGCAAATACAGAATAAATCCGGTGGCTCTCAAAATTTTTAAAAAAAAAATCATTTTTTTTTTAAATTTTCAAACTTAAATAACTCGGTTATTTTGGATTTTCTGAAAAATGGTACAGAGAAAATATGTTTCTTTTATCGAGATCTACCAGCCCTGAAAATATTTGCACTTATTTAAGATTTACCCTGTATATCGAGAACTATCGATAGTCTTCGATATATCGGAAAAAATATATCCCTAATCGTAAGTGTCTAATATAAAAAATGGTCTTACGAAATTTTGAGGAAAACCGAAAATATAATATACCTTATTTTCTTTGAATAAAATTTTTATATTGTTTAATTAGGAGTAATAAAAAATCGGTAAAAAAACTTTTAAGTTAAACGGTTTTATCTTATGTGCACTGAAAACTAGAAAATAATAATAACCATTGTTTGACGCTCAGGTGTTTCTGACGCTAACAACTCTCTCTGTCTGTCGCGTTCTGATGCTAGCCTAGACTCATGACGCTCAGGTGTTTCTGACGCTAACAACTCTCTTTGTCTCTCTCGTTGTGATGCCAGCCTAGACTCATGACGCTCAGGTGTTTCTGCCGCTAACAACTCTCTCTGTCTGTCACGTTGTGATGCTAGCCTGGACTCATGACGCTCAGGTGTTTCTGACTCTACCAGCTGCCTTTGTCTCTCACGTTGTGCTATTAACCTGGCATCATGTTGCTCAGGTGTTTCTGTTGCTAACCGTTCTCTTCGTTTCTGTAGTGGACTATAGGTTTCATTTTCACTTTCTTTTGCACGTTTCGTTCTATACTTTTCTTTCGCCTTTTCGAGCCTTCTTTTTCGTTGTGTAGCAGTTTCGTTTTTATTTTTGGTTTGGTTTGGTTTGTTTTTTTATTTATTGTTTCCATGTTGTTCCTACGAGTAATGGACATTTTAACGGTCGACCCCCCAGAGGTTCAGTAGAGGGGCAAGGCTATAATATACAACAAGAGGCGCCCAATCTTGAGGGGAAAACGCTTGCGACATTACATTTTTAGCCACCCTAATGCCATACAGTCCTCAGCACGTTTTAACCTATTACCTTAACTTGGGTGGTAAAGCTACCGCTAACTACGTAGGTACATCTAATCACACACACACACACACACACCTATTTTTTTTATCTGTTCTTCTAACGTCACACAATCTTGGACACAACTGTTCTGGACACGACTACTCATGCCCTCACCTAATCAAGGGCGTAGATAAGGGGGGGGGGTACTGGGGGACAGTACCCCCCCCTGACGCTTGACGAGATACGAGAATTGAAATAGTCATTGACTATGAAAGGATTTTTTTAAATTAAAATCCGACATATAAGAACACTTTGTATGCTTTTAATTATGTTGATTTATCGTTTATAATATGTTCGACCTGATTAAAAGCACACAAAGTGTTCTTATTGGTCAGGACAGATTAGTGGGGTTAACTCTAATCAATATCCATAAAGATATTGAAATAAATGTTGATGCTGTTATTGATAGGTTTTCGAAACAGCGTACTAGAAAACTTGATTTTGTTTTGTAGTTTTATTTATAGTTTATAGTTTTTATAGTTTTTTTATAGTTTAGAGTTTTTTTTATAGTTTATAGAAAATTAACTAATAAACGTCGTTGTTTCATTTTTGTTTATGTTATTTACAAATCTATATTTTAATTTTTGTGTTATGTTTTTATATCTTTTTGAAGACAAAAAAATCGCCGTCGTTTTAATTCGACAAAAAAATTCCGACGGTGATTTTTTTTGCGACTTAATCATAGTACCACCCCCATAGCATACACCTATCTACGCCCCTGCACCTAATACGCCATTTTGTAACGACGTCCATCTTGGACTTTAAATTTTGTCATAATCACAGTATTCTACTAGTGTAGCCCTTTCATTTGATACCCATATTGAGGGGGTTGTGGAAAAATATGAAATCCGCCATTTTGTACCGGCCTCCATCTTAGATTTACAATGTTATTGATATTACTATATTGTATTGTCATCGGAACTAAAGGTGTGTACCAAATTTCAGACCAATCTGACAACAGGAAGGTACTTAAATTTCAATTTCTAATTTTGACCCAAATAAACAAACAAATAAATAAATACCGTACGGGTCGAGCTAAATAAAACCGTTTAAAAATGACACTTTTTGCGGCAAGACTGTATGTTTGACTGACATATAGGCGAGCCACAAAAAGTCATTTTTACTCCGAATAGAACATGCTATTTTTTTTTCAAACCCCACAAATAATTTTTAAGGAATTTCAAACGTTCCAAATAATAAGTATAAAAATATTTAAAAGTCATACCTTGTATGTAATTATATATCGAGAAACTATAGTTACGCCCGTTGAATTTGACACTTTATATCAGTTTAATAATATATTTTTGTACTGTTATGCCTAGGCGTAAAGTGAGTTTTTTATATTGCCAATCACGTCGCAAAAATTAATAGTTTTGTGACGTTCAAAAAAAAATATTATTTTTTTATAACAGTTTTGAATTTTTTTACTAATATTCAAGTTTTTTAGGGGGGAGGTGGTTAAAACGGTAAACTAAAATCCACAAAAATAATTTCGATATATCGATAGTTTCGAATTCACCTATTGCTATTCGATATATCGATAACTATCGAAGTTATCGAAATGTCGGAAAACATCCCATCCCCTAATCACAATGCTAATTACAACTGTTTGAACGCTGAAAATTTTAATTGCGACCTGCCTCTAGCTATTGGTAGTTGTAGTTGTGCGATTTAGAAAAAAAGATCGAAAAATCAACGGTCTACAATGCGGAAATGTGTGTAGAATTAATGGGCTTAGCTGCGCTTGAACGCGGTATCGGGTTTCAAATTGCTGTTACGCGTGTTTCTTTTCAAATATTTACTTTAATTGGGCTAGTAAACGAATGGTTTTTCTGAAAAAATATATGTATATACATCTACTCTAAATATAGTTCGTGTCTGTGGATTCTAAAGCCGTAGTGCCCTTTTACATAAAATAAGTATACTTGTATATTCTGTATATTTTTTTGTAAACATTTTTGTATAAATTTAATTAAATTGCTTTTAAGGTCTTAGTGTTTTCGCTTTGTTTACATTTTTTTGTTCACGGTTTCATCATACGTGTTTTTGTGAAGAAGCTGTCCTTGGACATACTGTCCTAAAAAAAGACGACCAGAATGTTAAGAAAAATTTATAACTTTACTTATTTTTAATGAAAGATTACTTTCTATAAAGTTTTCTGTATTAAAATATTACAATTTTTAATATATCTCCATTCAAATACAGGGTGAGTTATAAAGTGCAAATATTTTCAGGGCTAGTAGATCTCTATAATAAAAAAAGTTGAATTGTTGCTTACATTTCAAAAACCATTCATTTTTTTCTAGGTTTTTGTTCCTCTTGATTTAATTTACTATGATATTGTTCTAGATATTTTTATTTTATTCTATGATATTCTAAATGCCATTCTAGATGTTATGTTTTTTAACCAAAAATTAAAATATATTTGAAAACATTTTTCGAAAAGTACAAAATTTTCAACAATGAAAAAAAGTCGTAGACATATTCCTGGGATCGACATATACCTAAAAATATTTCCACTTATTTAAGACAGACTCAACGAAAGATCAGAGTTTCAATGTTTAATTCGATTATTATATGAATTACCATTAAGAAAGGTAAATTATTAACAGGACATTTTGTATGGTTGTTTTTCAACTTACAACTTTATGCAACCAAATATACAGTAATTATTGTTAATCTCTCTCTCATTTAGAGCATAGTTTCTTAAATGTCTTGATAGAAGGAAGAATATTTAGCTTCTTTTAACGTTTTTAAATTCTAGGCGTTTTATTTCCCGATAACAGGCAAAAAAGAAACATAGTAACGTTATAAATTCTTTATTCTGGTATATGAACACATTGGTGGTATCAGAAATAACAATAAAATAATAATACACATTAATATCTGGTCCTTATTCTTTGCCTTTTTCTGTATAAATTGTAAATGAGACGAACTTACAAACCTACTTAAAAATTAAAAACAATTAACATCATAAAGCCTAAGTAAACAGCGGTATGGCATATGTATATACAGGGTCTACTCCGAAAACAAAAATTACTTTTTTAATTTTCGGATAAAATACTGAGCGTTTAAGGTTGGCATGGCAGTCTTGTCATAATATTCTGGTGATTTCTTCGGGGTTTAGTAGAATTTGTAGCCCAATCCTCCGCCATAGTAGCCTTTCGTGACGTAGGATCTTTCAGGGTGGTAGGATTTTCCTATTCTGGATACCTCGGCGTTGAAACCATTGACCTAGAAGTAGATAATAATTGTTGTAATAGTGTTTTTATGATAATATTACTGTCTTTGCTTATAAAAAATGTCTTAAAGTATTGACAAAAGAGCTTTTGTTTCGTAGAAGATTAAAAACAAACTAACTGAATAAAAATAATTTTATTTTGGTCTAGAGCCAGTACTGGCAATGCCCAAATGTATGACCCGTAGTAAAAATAATTTGTGATTAACCCAGTTGTGTTCAAAATTTCACAACTAGGGAATGCAATCCCGCACCAAAATCTCAATCCCGCAAACTCGCGGGATTAAAGCAGTCAATCCCGCGGGATCCGCAAAATTGCGGGATTGTAAACAATAAATGCTCCTCTTTGTTCTTAACCTATTAAACTTGCTAATATAATGGTTTTATGCAATTAATCGAAATTATAAATATCTACTAATCTGTATTGAAATTGAAAAAAAAACAATTTGGTAGGTTTTTTAAATTTTTTTGTTTTAACGAAAATACGAGGTTTTTTCGAAAAATATGCATTTATAGTCATACATTTGGTCCTAAATGGTCCAAAAGGCATTGTACAGTTTGCATAGGCCCACAATATATTGATATAGCGTGTATCTTAAACTAGCTGTCCAGAAATTTGGACTGATGTATACAAGGTGTTCAAAGAATATATTTAATATTTAATAAACTTATTTATTATAATTTATCTACTTATTTTATAAATAAAAATATTATTCTGATGTTGAAGTTTTTTTTTAATTTGTGTTAGTTATCTGCTTTTAGATACACTTTACATCAATAATTTTTTGGCATATGCAGAATGTACAAAGCTTTTTGTACCACTTAGGACCATTACGTTTGACTAAAAATGCATATTTTTCGAAAAAACCTCGTATTTTCCTTAAAACAAAAAAAAATAAAAAACCGATCAAATTGTTTTTTCTAATTTCAATACAGATTAGTCGTACTGTCGAACTTGGTAAAAATTTCGATTTTTTAAGAATTGTAAATTTGCGGTAAAAAAAGATTCTTAGCCAAATTTTCACACTCTTGTAAAACACCCTGCATACGATAATTCGCTAAATATATTTTCGAAAACCACATAGCATCTTAGTCACAATAGATGCATTACCTGATTATTAATGATTATACCTGGTCCCAACCACATCCCAAAATCTTTTTTAGTTCAAGTAAATTTACCTTAAAATTTTGCTTGTCTCAATAATTATGTCCGGCAGTTTATTTGACAAAATTGTCTTTTTTTAATGGCCAAGGCGTAAGGGGATTTAAGTATTCGGTTACCCAGTAGTAATGTGTCAATCTCGCAGATCCCGCACGGTAAATCCCGCAACTTTGATCCCGCGGAACCTCAGCGGGATCCCGCATTTGCGGGATTGCATTCCCTATTCACAACCCATTGTTAAAGTGTCAAAATATTTTTTGAGGCTTACCTTATCAGCTGTATATTTAACAACACGAATAGTACCATCTGGTTCAGCCAAGGAGTACTCTCCTTTAACGACATCTCCATATCTTTCTTCAGTTTGTTCTTTTTGGTCTCCAGTTTTGGGATCGCCTACAGCATATTTGTATTCGTATTTTGGCGGGGTGTAGTAGTCAATTGCTTTAGAATATCCTAGACAAATTTTTAATATTATAATACGAGTACTTTATGATGAATTTACTGTTTCTAGGAAAATAATATGGAAATATTATTACGTATGACTTGAAAATCTTATTACACAATAGGTAAATTTCAAGATTTCATATTTCATGATCTGTTTATAGTATATATTTGTATTTTTTTGTATACAATGCCTTGTGTTTGAAACGTAAGCTTAAATTTCGAAATTTTATGATAAAACTGTTTCTGTTGAACCTTGCCCACAAAAACATTACAAAATATATTATTTCAGTTTGATAGTCTGAACTATCTAGTCAACATGTCATTTTAATTGATAAAATAATGAATACTTATTAAACTATTGTAGGTAAATTTAAGTAAACTGTTATAAATCTAAATAATAATGTCCATAAATTAATATCGATTTAGAAAATAGTTACTAAATATCACTAGAAAATTGCCATGGCGACACCAGTCGTCTTGATTGCGTTTTTATTGAAAAATCGCTTTTTATTCAAAATCTGAGCTAGATAGGTATAGGAAACCCTAACATAGTTTGAAAGAGCATGTGAATCTGCTTCGATTTATTTTAGAAAATACAGGGTGTAGCATTTGAAATAACGAAGTTTTTCTATAAAATAAATCCTTAAAATAAATCAGCAATTTTTGGTACCCCTGTATAAATTTGAGGAAGCAATAACATTTTTCAGTAAAGTTTATTTCCCTACTTTTAAACTCAGCACAAGAATTAATTCTTAAAAGTAATGTACAGGGTGTTAATAATCTATTCTATTGTAGTATGCATATTTAAATATCTCAAAAACCAAAGATTTTAATCATATTTAACCCTTATAATAAATGCCTTTTTTTGGGCCCAAGAATCCAAAAATCAAATAAAATACTGGGTGTTCCATAAGAAAAAAATATAACTTTGGTATGGATCTTACTTCTGAAACACCGTGTATATTTCAAAATAATTTTAAATTGAGCACACTGCCTCCCTACATATACCCATAAAATATTTTGTTTCTACATCTTTCCGTTTTCGTATAATCAACTGAGGCGAATGAAGTGCGCTACCCTGTATATCTTGAGTACCGTATTATTTTTCTGAGATTCTTACCGTAATACGGAGCAGGAATAGGAGCTGTATAGGCCAAAGGGGCTGCAAACTTAATAGGAGCTATCGGTTCTAACCTCAAACCTCCATAACCATATCCAGAACCCAATCTTATCCCGCCATAACTATAACTAACAGCGCCACAGTCTACATTAACGGTGAACATCGCAACTAACAATCCTAATATCACACCAAACATGTCTTTTATTGTTTCGTCTTGAGCTTAAGTCGAAATTCCAAAGAATACTGATAACCAATCTTTGGTATTGGGTGTATTATATAGGGGAGAATATAGTGGGACTGTAAAATTTTCCGAAAAAAATATGGAAAAGTAGCTCTAAACGAAGTGGTTTGTGTATGTCTACCTTGTATGCCGGTTTTTATTTTTATTTAAAGTGTTTCAAGTATACGAATGTGTCGTGTTATCAAATAAGTGGAAGCATATTTGTAATTAGGGAGGTACTGTCGCTGATACGGAAACGTTATATTTTGTTTTAACCAATTAGAAAATCAAAACTCGCGTTTTAAAAATTTTTAATTTAAAAACAACATAAATTTGTATTGAACTGTAATTTCGAATTGATATCTGCTTGACTATCGGATAAACCTTATAATATATAAGGACTATCGGTAACATTCATTAAGACTTGCTAAAGATTTATAAAGAATTTAGTGTGAGAAATAGTTATTTTTTATACAAGACGATAAAATGGTATTTTATCGGCGACCGAAAAGATTTTCGGGAGACGATAATGCAATTTTATCGTCGTGTATAAAACAATATTTTTTTCCATAGCGAGTTACATTTTAAAAAATATTCACAATTTAATATTTCAAGGAATTTATTACGAGTAGAAAAAATATTGTGCTGGGTTGGCGTTGGTTTCTATGTAATTTGACAAATAAATAAAGCTGTCTCTTTAGTTGTCAGTTTTGAGTCAATAGTTTTTAATTCTCTTTTGTGTCGATTGCTGATTGAATTGGAGCCAAAAATGGCTCAAAACGAAATAAGTAAATTACCAATAGATATTCAAGCTGAGGCGACAAATGCCATATCCAAATAACTTATGAAAAGGAATACAAACATTTTCAAAAATGGAAGCAATTATAAAACATGCGAGAAGAAATAAACTTTTTAACTTATCCTCGCTGTTAAAGTATCATTTAATCTACCTTTGCGGTTAAAGTACTATTTTATCTACTATTTTTAATAGATATAAGGCAATTTTAACAGTTGCTATGGAAATAAAATTACATTAAATATGGAAATATTTCTTATTTACAGCCTGGCAAATGGATCTAAAACAATTAAGCAAAGATAACGCAGTTTTCTAGAAACATCTCTCGATTTCATTCATAAAATATCCAGGAACATTTTTTTTATCCAGGCAATATTTTATGAAAATATATCAAGGATTTCTATATTTTCCAGTAAACTTTACATTATTTTACTTTAAATGTATCTACATTTTGTTTAATGATTCCCCAAATATAGTAATGTTTGTTAGAATCAAGTTAAAGATGTAAAATACAATGGTCTAACACCGCCATTGGACATTTCAATACTAGTCAATATTTCTACTATTTCGTGGGAAGGGCATAAAATTGTGGGTAGCGTTAGCCAATAGGAAAAAGGTTATACGCATGTCAGCCACCTGGTAAGAATGTGCAGCAATCAAGTTGGTTGAATACGGGATGTCATGATGAATTCTTCTTTCATCTTGCCAGAAGCGGATGATATCTTTAGGAAATATTTACCTTTATATAATAAGCCTTATAATATACCTTTTAAAATAAGCAAAATGAAGAAAGTCAGGAAAAAAAAAATGTAAAAACAGGAACTACGTTAAAATACGTAACATTTTAATATATAATAATTATTTATGTTGAAATGAAATAAAAATATTAAATTTATAAATAATATCGAGCAATTTTGCTTTTGTATAGTTAAAGTTGACAATACATTAGTATAATTAAGTATTGAGTAACATAAAACTGGATATTACCAAAAATTGTTGAAAAAATTGCTAACCCTATCATAATTGTGATTAGGTAAGGTGAAATTAACGTTAAAATAGTAGCATACATTAACGGTAACCCTCTATTTGTAATAATGCATTGATAACTAGTTTAGGATATGAATACTATACGTCTCAATATTACATCAGATTATTTTTGGGTCAAGTATTTTACTACATAAATAGTGGTACCTGGATTTATATAGTGCCGTTTTGTTTATGTAAATAATAGTCCAAGTGCTGAAGTAAGTACATCTATACTAATATATAAAATCCTTAAGTAACTCTGATTGATCACGATCCTGCTCAAACCACTCAACATAAGAAGCTCAATTTTGGCATACAGGTTGATTCTAGGGTGTACAGGTTCGAAAAGAAGGGATTTTTCGAAATTCCAGGTTCAAGGGGGTGAAACCACCCCTGAAATATTACAATATTTTTTTATTTAAAAAACGGTCAAGTTTCCGAAAAAACGCTTAAACACGTATATTTTATTTTGTTTTTTTACATATTTTAAGATTTTTTAAAAATTTATACAGGGTGTTTCATAAAATATGATCATTGAGTAATCACGATTCTGCTTAAACTGATTGACGTTTAAAGCTGATTTTTGGCAAACGGGTTGACTGTGGACTGTGGGGTGTAGAGGTTCGATAAGGAGGGGTTTCTCGAATCTCAAATTCCAAGAGGGTGAAAACGTCCCTCTAATATTACAATATTTGTTATTTAAAAAACGGTTAGTCTTGTTATTAAAAAAACGCTTGGACACGCATAATTTATTTTGTTTTTTAACATATTTTGAAATTTTTTAAAAAATCATACAGGGTGTTCCAAAAAGTTGGGTAATTGATTAACCACGATTCTGCTTAAACTGCTTGACGTAAAAAGCTTATTTTTGGCAAACGGATTTTTCGAAAGTCAAATTCCAACGAGATGAAACTACCCCTCAAATTCTCAAATATTACCAAGTTATATAATACTATCGCCATATTGTTTTTTCTCATGCTGACATAAATGTGAGCAAATTTTATCCAGTTTGTATGTTAATGGAAATTCTTGCTTTGCTTTATCATCACAATTACAAATGATTAATTCGACGCGAACGAAGTCGCGGGTACACGCTAGTGTCTTATAAAACGAAGTAGATATTCTGAATTTTTAGACAAAAACAAAAAGCTTGAAGTGAGGAAAAATGCGATTTTTCAATATTTGCTCCAATTGATTTGTGATATAGTTTTTTAAACTCTGATTTGAGTTTTTTTGAATTTTTTTTATCTGCAATACTTACTTTACTTACTTTTTCGTATCCGGACCATATAGGTACATAATGTACAATTATAATTTAAAATTCTTTAGCCCAGTACCGGGCGACGTCTAAAGCATTTTCATCGGCGTTCCATAAATTTTCAAGGGTACATGTATGAGGGCATCTTATGCATGACAGCAATAAAACGTACCTATGTTTTTAACATACACAATTGTGAACTAAAGACCTAGTTCAAGGAACTATTCCTCTGGAGGAACTAGAACTAAGGAACTAGTTCCTCTAACCATTGTGAACTAAAGACCTAGTCCAAGGAACTATTTCTCTGGAGGAACTAGAACTAAGGAACTAGAATTCCCACCTCTATGGTAGACACTTATTATATGCGGTGGATATTCGCTCCTGTACTACAGCCTAATTAACAAAACAATATATTATTTTACTACTTGAAAAAATGCATCGGTGTGAAATGTGTCCACCTCGCATTCGTTATTTCTTCGATTAACATAAAACGAATAATCGTAAAACTGGACGGCTTTGGACTAGTTCAATAAATATTTTTCCTCAATTTTTCTACTATTTAGATAGACAACAGCAAATTGCAATGGTTCAGATCGAAATTATTTCCAAGGAAAATGTTTTAAATTAGCGTTGAAGATTTATGGTAGCTTTATATTTATTTTATGGTGTACGCCTTCTGCCTGTTTGTTTTTTATTGTAATTATCTAATAGATTAACGTTTATAATTTATTGTGGTTGGTTGGGGATTTTAGTTTTATTTGTTTACTTTGAACAAATTGAGCTGTGATTGATTTATTTTACAGCGATGTCTAATTAGAAGGAAGTATTTTTTGCTAAGATTTACCTTGATCTCTTGGGAATTTACTTTGCTCGATCAAAAAAATACTAATTTTTTAATGCTTTATATCTATCAAAAATAGTAGATAAAATAGTATTTTAACCACAATGGTAGATTAAATGATATTTTAACAGCGAGGATAGGTTAAAAACTTTATTTCTTCTCGCACGTTTTTTAATTGCTTCCATTTTTGAAAATTTTCGTATTCCTTTTCATAAGTTACGAGCCCTAACAACTAAATGTTCGGACAAACAAAAATTTATTAAAAACCTTTATTTTCATTAACTGAATTATTTACATTTAAGAAATACATTATAAATATATTAGATTCTAACATTTCTAATGAATATTTAAATAGTTTAGTTTCTATAAACATTAAAATAAACTGTAGGCCAATAAATAAACAAAAAGATTGCACAAGATCGTGACAACTAAATGTTCGGACACTTTAAAAAATAACTTCTCATATGGCGTTACATCGACATGAACTTTTGCAACCACTGCAAGCCTGTTTGGCATTGTTTTTATTAATGATTGACATACGCCAGAGTAAAAATTTTGCCATAATTCACTGAATATCATCGTCAAATGGCCAACGGTTTTCTTGGGGATCGTAGCACAATTCTTGTTTCGTTTTATGCCACATGTCTCGATAACATTAAGGTCCGGACTATGCGAAGGCAATGAGGGGACCGTGATGTTCATGTCCTTAAACCATTTTTTAGTAGTTTTAGCCGTATGGCATGCCCCGCCATCCTGTTGAAATATAAAATTCATATCCTGGTAAAGGCCTCTCGCACAAAACTGTTTTTCAAAATTTCTTGATGTTTTGACACATTAGTTGTGCCTTTCTACCACCTTATACCTTCCTAGACCCATTGCGGACATAAACTCTAAAAGTACAATGTCTTTAGGAAATTCCACTGTCCATCTTTCATAAAAATCATTCATGCGTGCAGATGTAATCCTTGAACTTGCAGTTTGCGATTAGAATTAACAGCGTCGGATTGGAACTTCTGATGTCACAAACTACAAAAATGACATTTAGGTAAAATATTTAATTATTTCCCAATCCGACGCTAATAATTCCAATCGCAAATGGCAAGTGCACGAATTACATATGCCCATGAGTCACCTTAATATCGATATAATAAATATAATCGAATTAATAGATGCATTATGGAACAAAGTATACCAGAGCTATGGCAAGACGCAACAATCACTCTCATTCACAAAAAGGGTGATAACACCAGACTCGACAATTATCGTCCCATTCCCATTAGCCTGCTCTCGCACTTCTA